TACAGTTTCCTGCCTTCCTTGGTTTCCCAGTCTCCTTGCCCAGGATTCCCTTCTCCTAACTTAAGTATGAAGTTTTCTGGAGTATGTAGTTCTGCTCTGACTACAGTCAAGCTCAAGCCTGGGGTATAGGAAATGAGTGGATATGGCTATTGGGCTCCCCTTTCCCTACAACGCCCAGGAGAATTGTGTTCTGTTTGACCTAGAAACAGTGAGAAGCGCAGGTTTGGTTCTCAGGTCACCTTGTAGGCAGCAGCCTGGCCTTCAGACCCCAATAGTGACTGAGACTGTGTCCCATCCTGGCCAGCCCTAGGTATACTCTGGGCTGTAGGCTTCTGGATGCACAGTGTGGATGTTGCATGGACGACAAGGCTGAGTTTCCTGATAGATTTGGACTTCTGGTATTGCCTCTGTGTGCCTGCAGGATATACACATTCAGAAAATGCCCACTTTGTGTGAGTTCACTTTGCAAGGGATGGCAGTCCGCATTGAGATAAGAGGCCATTCACATGGAGTATCCTGATGAGGAGCAGGGTGTATGGTTGTATTATTAAAGAAACAATTATCAAAGGATGTGCTGTGTGTAAGTACACTCTAAAGTACAGAGCTTGTACAGGGTAGGCTGTCTGTGTCCCATCCTCAGATGAGCACTCTCTAGGTCTGGTCGGATGTGTCTAGATCCCGCACAGTCAGCCTCACTCTGTTTTTTACGTGGGGTCCCCTAGGACTCAAGCCTTGGTGGGATGGAGTGTGGAGGAAATGAGCTCCAAGTGGATATTGTCCATTTCTTCTCCTCATCTTAGACTCCTCTCTCTCTCTCTCTCTCTCTCTCTCTCTCTCTCTCTCTCTCTCTCTCTCTCTCTCTCTCTCTCTCTCTCTCTCTTGAATTTCAGGGTCCAGTCTTTCTACTTTCTAGTTGGCTGTCCCTGGGCTCACTTTTGCTGATGAGGCCTGTAGAACTGAGAACCGCTTGGCTGGTGGTCAGGGACTGAGTGGCATGTGCCTTATTCATGGACGCTTGTCACATTCATAGATGCCTTCTCTGCTCATGGGCACCTTGTCCTGGTTGTAGACATCTGGTTGTAGTGATAGACTCCTTTCTCTGCATACAGACAACTTTACTGACCCCCTCATTTCCATTTCTCCTGTAATGGGGCTGTTTCCTGAGGTATGTAGCAGTTGATTCTTGGTGACAAAGTTTCTCCTTTGTCACCTTTAGGTTTTTCTTTCATTTTTTTTTATGGTGGAGGTACATGTGGGTATGTGTTTAGGTGTACTGTGTGTGTGTGTGTGTGCGCGTGTGTATGTGTGTGTGTGTAGGCAGCCAGAAAATAACCTCACTGTAATTTCTCAGAGCTCACTAATTAGGCTAGGCTAGGCTCGCTGGCTATTGCTCTGTCTCCATGTCTCTAATGTATAGGGGTATTATAAATACAAACCACCATGATTGTTGTTTGTTTGGTTTGGTTTTCAAGACAGAGTTTCTCTAGCTTTGTAGACCAGGGGGTCCTGGAACTCACAGAGATCTGCCTGCTTCTACCTCCCCAGTGCTGGGATTAAAGGTGTGGGCCTCCAATGCCCAGCTGATTGATTAAAGGTGTGGGCCTCCAATGCCCAGCTGATTTTTTTAAGCATGGGTTCTAGGAATCAAAATCACCACCTCCACACCAGCTGATCTCTTTCCCAAACCTACTGCTATATTTTTCTTTAAGAAATTGGTTTGTTTTATTTTATTTTATGAATTTGCCTCAGTATTTTTCATTCTGAAAAATGGGGTCCAGTTGATTTCCTATGGGTTTGTTGGGAACAAGTCAGTCCTTTGGAGTTGGCAAGGAAGATTTGGGGCATATAGGATGCAAGAAAACCTGCCTGAGCTAAAGAGGTCTTCAGGGTTTGCAGAAACCCAGCCTCTGGCGTCTGCCTGTGTTCCCTCCCTCTGAAGATCTGTAATCCTACCTCTAGCTGGCCTCTCTTGCCCTCCTCAGGCCTGGTGTGGAGATGCAAATGTGGTAACATAGTCTGTCCCTACACTCAGTGCTGCTGTGGATACATTGCCATCTGCTGCCCTCCTGACCCCTCAGGGAACACAAGCAGTCGTTGCTGGGCCACCGGCTGGCACCGCTGCCCTCCTCCACCACACCTGCTTTCTTGGCTCCCAGGGCAGTCACTGCTGAAGGAGGCTGGTCCAGGAAGGGGCACGTGCTGTGCTGATAAGATGAAGTTTGGGGTACATCCCTTCTGGCTGAGAGACAATGAGTTATAGGCTATTGGGAAGGAGTTATAAGGCATGTCCTAGGGATACAATGCATATCTAGGATACATACTTGAGGTGTGGAACTCACACTTTGGAAGTGCAGAGTACACCTGAGAGTGTGCCTTTACCACCACACTTGGTAGTCAGGTGCCTTCTTCCCAGAGCGTCTTCTAAATGTCCTGATGGAAACTGTGGTGGCATGGTGGGACACACCAAGGTGTCTTTAACGTTTTCCTCAGATGCTGTGGGGCAGGAAAACCAGGAGGCCAGGGCCTTTGAAGGGAGGCGGGGAAAGGCTGCAGCTGGCCATCCTATAACTCTAGGAGTGAAGGGGAGAACTGGGCCTGTAGGCACCTCCATATTCCAGGATATTGGGGTGAAGCCTCAGTTCTCTTTAGAGTCAATTTTCTCACTGCTGCCATTGTGAGCTAGTGGAACAGTTCATACTAGAAAAGACAGCCTGTGGACAAGAGCCCTCTGTCCTCACAGCCTACCCCTGGGTATGCTCTGACAGCACAGAACCCTTTCTTTTGCTGTCACAGAACAAGTAATAGTTTAGTGACCATTGTATAGCAACAGTTAGGACCTAACCCACTGTTATTTTTATATTAAAAACCTTTTGTGATATGCTGTGCATGTTCATGTTCATGGTAAAGCAAAGAAAAGACAGAAGCAGAGTCTGGACCGCAGTCCCCAAGGTGCACCTTCAGCATCCCCCAGGGAAGGGTCTCAGCCCTCCTGTTGCAGCTATCCTTTGTGTAAGTGTGCTGCTGGTGCCCTTCAGCCGTTGCTACGTACGTCTCGTACTGGGCTGATCCTGCTGAAAAATCTTGGCACTAAGGCTTTAAAATAGTGTGGCCATGCTGTCAGCTACTCAGTGAAGCCATCGATGTCAGCTGCTCTGCCACGGGGTCCAAGAAAGCTCTAGGCGGACTTATTCCAGGGCTGAGTTTAGACGGGTTCTGCTTCCCAGACTAGCAGCCACCTGGATCTTACTTCAGCCTCCGACTGGTTTCTTTGTGCGGCTGCCTCTCAGCCTGCACTGCCGCCCTGACTCCCAAGTGATGGTCACTCATCCTCCTAGGCTGTCTCAGCAACTAATAAGCCGAGCTCCCTCTGCAATCCTCGGTCCCCTGGATGTGGGGCTGCAAGTGAGGGCCATCCTCTGCCCCTGTGCTTCCGATTCCTTTCCACGAGGACCATCTCCACCCTGGCTCCTGCTCACGACCTTTTGGGGCCAGTGTGCCATAGGAACCTGGCCGGGACACAGCTGGCACCTGTCTGATGAGGAGTGGCCCCCTGGTGTGAGGCACGCCCTCACTCATTACCCTGAGGCACGCCCTCACTCCTAGTCTGCCATTACCCTGCTGCTGTTTTGCTCACAGTTCTTTTGCTTGGTTTGAATTTGTTGCTTGCCAGGATCTGACCCGCCTTAGTGTCCTGCAGTCCTCAGAATGGCAGAGCCCCTCTCGTGTTTCAGTATCCTGTGCGGGGCCGGGGCAGAAGCTCAAGTAACCTATCAAGTGCATGGAGTTGATTCACCATGAGTTGTGTCCTGTGGGGATGCAGGAACTCCTGAGCTTAACACTCAGATAGAGCTTCCCATTTGCTGTCCTCGTCTTCCCTGTTTTGGCCCACCCAAGAAACTCCATTTTGGGGTGAACTGGAGTGCCTAAAGAAGAGTCTCTCATTTAAAAGGCTGAATTTTTCTGTTACGCTTTGATTACCATTTTCAAAGGGGGTGAGAAAGAAAGGGACCTGGCCCTGTGAATGACTGTCATCTGTGCTATTCTGGCTGTTCATGGAACTCATACCATCGTTGAGTTCAGCAGGGGCCACATTTCTCATCCTTTGTGGTGAAGGTATGCCTTGGCCACATTGGCCTTGGGATCTGCAGTTTGGATGGGTCTGCACATTACAGCTTTGCCACTGACCCTCTATGGAGTTCTCCTTGCATTGAGCTTTAGGCTCTCAGTTCCCAGAAATATGCTAACCGGGAGCTAGCTCATCACACCTGCTCCCTGAGTTAGAAATGGCACATGCCCACCCTTGCTGGAACAGCAGGGACCACGATGGGATCATCTGCATGTCTGTGTGCCCCCCCCCCGAGTCTTGCTGGGAGGTGATAGCCCCTGCTAGGTCTTCTTTAGCCCTCAGAGGTGTCTGCCTGTCTTGGTAATCAATAGCCCACAAAACCCAAATTCTATGGCTATATTTCAGGGTTGCTTCCCTATGAGATTTCCTCCTGCAAGCCCAAGGGCCAACCACATGTTCTAGGATCCCAGGGAAGGCCCTTATTGTGTGTCTCCAGGGTCACTTACCAACCCTGGGCATGGCTCAGCCTCTGCTCAGAAGGCTCAGATCTGAGGGAGAGTAAGCATGGTATGACTGGCCTGGATCCTAAGGATGACATCATTTTATAGACCCCAAACATCCTTTCAGGCAATCACTCATAGCAAGTGAGGCCCAGGGAGGAGGCCATGGAAAAGCAGCTGGTGGGGTCGATGTAGAACCCACTGTTGCTGAGTCAGACCCTGTCTCCTTTGCCCAGAGACTGCGTCTGTCAGGCTGGCAGGGTCAGTGCCAGCTCCAACAGCTGGACCAGCAGCTCAGAGGGGTCCCAGCCCCCAGAGAGGGTGCTCTTCAGCTCTTGACATATCTTGTTGCCTGGTACCACATACTGCAGCTAGAACGAGGGACACGGATGGGCTGTGAGGAGCAGAATGACCCCTTTCTTCTTCTTCCCTAGCAACATGGCTGACAGCAAGGCCAAGCCTGCCAAAGCTGCCAACAAGACACCACCCAAGTCCCCAGGAGAACCAGCCAAGGACAAGGCTGCTAAGAGGTTGTCACTGGAGTCAGAGGGTGCCAATGAGGGGGCGGCTGCGGCCCCTGAGCTCAGTGCCCTGGAGGAGGCCTTCCGGCGGTTCGCGGTACATGGTGACACCAGGGCAACAGGAAAGGAGATGCATGGCAAGAACTGGTCGAAGCTGTGCAAGGACTGCCACGTGATCGATGGGAAGAACGTGACCGTCACGGATGTGGACATTGTCTTCAGCAAGATCAAGTAAGTGCCATGCAGGCTTAGGAGGCACAGCTTGTGTCAGCAGCTGTGGGGAGCTGTGAAGGATCTTGCTTGTAGATTCAGGATGCCTGAAGCTAAGGAGTAGGCGTATAACCTGTAGTGTCTGAGACGGTCTGGGAAGTACATTGACCCTAAGCGCCTTGGAACTCCTTGGCTAGGTCCTGAGCCTTAGTCTGTCTGGCCTTGGATGTAGCCAGGGTGGGGGTTTCTGGCCTTGAGAAAACTTAGTTAACTCTAACCAAGCCCCAGGTTAGTGAGTTGTTGCTAGACATGACCAGGTTTGCTCAGGTGAACAGAGACCCAGCCACCACGGGCTGAGTGAGTCTACGAGATCAGTGTGGGGGCCGTGCCTGTTTAACCTTGTTTCTGGGATATGACAGTGGCACATGGCAACCTCTTCCAGCTCTGTGTCCACCTCTGTTAATTTTGCACTTGAGAAATGCTCACATATGCAGCCAAACTGATACAGATTTAAAAGCAACGGCCATTCATCCACTGTGTTGTCAAACATCTGTGTGCTGTCAGGTCCTGTGGTTGATCTCTGTGGGTGCTACTGACTGAACATCACTTCCTCCTCTGGCTTTGGGTGGGCGATGCGGTCTTCATACTGGTGGCTGCTGATCACCATTTTGCTTGTGGACTTGTTGGTGTTCTCTAGGTACAGGAAGGCTTCCCTGCCCCGGGGTTATGCATTCCTGCCTGGAGGAATCTTTGAATAACAGGCAAAAAGCTAGCGGTGGCCTGGCAGATGGCTCCTGAGAGCTCCAACATTGCCAGGAATCTAGGCAATCCCAGCAAGGTGAATGGATTTAACGTGTCCCAATGGGAAGAGGTCAAGTAAGCCAGAACCCAGATGCAGTGCACCATGAGCAGGGGATTTGGGATGTTGACATCTTTCTGCTCCAGATGAAGCCAGCTATAGCTTCCTCCAGACCCTGGTTGAGAGAGATGAAAGAAGGCTGAGCCAGAATTTTCAAGGTCCCAGCCCCTGGAAAGGGGCTCTGTGGAGATCACTGAGCCAAAGCCTTGCTGTCTCCACCCATCCTAATGCCGATATCCACCTTGCTGTGTACTGGGAGTTTGACGTTCTGCCAAGGAAGAAAATCTCAATTCCATGCTCCCTGGCCAACTTCCCATTGTACAAAGTACATGAGAGTCTGTCTGCAGTGTCGTAGGGTTGAATGGTTGTACTGGAAAGGCTGAGAAATGTATTCCAAAGGGGCTCTGCGTCCTGACCCTCTCCAGGCCCCACTGACCCCAGGCTTGATAGAGCTCACTGTGCTGGTCACATGGCCTGCCTCAGCTGTCACCTGTGGGGAAATGTGTAGCCTCCCCAGACAAACTGGCCTAATGGGTTCCACTGGACAGCTCCAGGCAGGGACACAAGGTAGGTCCTGGTAAACACATGGTAGGTTGGACAACCACGAGTGAGGGGCACTGACCCAGGCTGCAAAAATGATCAGCACTGGAGCCACTGATACAGTCAAATCTCCCATCCTGGTGCCAAGCATGTTAGGCCAGCAGACATGCCCTGCAACACCGAGACCTAGAAAAACTAGGTTAGCTATGTCTAGCGTCTGCATACAGTTAAAGCTGATTGCTTTAGGGAACTCACCACCACGTCTAAGCTGGCAAATGAACTTGGACAGCTCCTCACCTTATCTCTCCCCATGTTCCTTCTCCAACCTGAGCTTGCCAGAATCCCTGGAAGCTATTCCTACAGTGAGAGAACATAGGGTGTCTTTTTTTTGTTTTGTTTTGTTTTGTTTTTACGAGACAGGGTTTCTCTGTATTGTTTTGGAGGCTGTCGGTCCAGCCCGGCCTCAAACTCACAGAGATCCGCCTGCCTCTGCCTCCCGAGTGCTGGGATCATAGGGTGTCTTTTAAGCAAAGCCAGTGAGCTCATGGTACTCTTCTCCTTAGACACGCCTCCTATAACGCCATGTCCTCGGTAAACTCAGTGTTCAAGATAATCAAGAACTAACCCAAGAACAAGGAGACCCAGAGACTTGTGTCTATGAGGAAACTTCTAGAAGGGATTGTTGGAAGGCAAGAAGTGGCCTGCCCAGAGGTTAATCAATTACTCCAGTTTCTTCTGAAGGAGGCTGCCGTCCAGGGGCTGTGTGCACCCCACTCCATGTAGGATTGTGTTTTTACAGCCTCCCAGCAGGTGGTACTATGTGGTCATGGGTCTCTTGGATGATGTGAGCCACAAAGGACTGAGAACTCCAACTCCACATGTCCTTCCTGCCATGCGGGTGGGGGGCATTAGACCCACATGAGTGAGTCATGTGAAGGGAATGCTTATTCCCTGAATGCAGAACTTGAGACGCTCAGACTCCAGGGCACGACCATTCCTTCACTGTAGACTCTGGGCTGCCCGGGAACCTTGGAGGGTCCCTGATTTGCAAGCCCAGAGAAGGCTCAAGGCTGTGATAGTCTAGGCGGACAAGCTCTAAGTGCCGTACTGTGCTTGCTGGCACTGTGGGTACACGCTGGGCCGGTGTCTAGCTGGGTAGCTGGAGGATCCTGCACGAGGCAGAGGCCCAGGAACCCTGACATTTCTTTTGCCTTCACACGTTTGGTTTCTTCTGACCTGTGTCCCACTTGGAACATCTCTGTGCTTGAGGAAGATTCTCACCTCCCAGGCATGCGTGAACAGAGGAGTCAGACTCAAGTGGAGGGGCACAGCATCCCGAGTGCCAGGGTGGTGGGAGAATTCTGCGAGGGCTCCACCAGGACTGGGGAACTCTGGGACTGAGATTTCCAGGAAAACTGTGGCTGTGGTGGCACTGTTTGTATTATGACAGCTGGGTGTTTGTGGTCCCTTAAGGGACAGCAATGGCAACTGCAGAGGCCTTTGCCTCCTATGGGAATCTGGGGCCTGGGAGGAAATTGCTTAGGTACCTCCAGGAAGTTGCTGACTCTGACAGGACTTGAGAGAAAAAAAAAAGTTCAACTATTTCTGTTTTGGGGCAGGTTGCCATGGCTCTGCAGGCGTGGCGCCAGCTGGGGTATCTGCAGCCTTTGTTTAGGTCCTTGTCACCATGGCAGCGCTTGTTTGTTTTGATGTTACTATGTGTTAAATTTTAAACAAATTTCTTGAAGCTCTATACCAACTTTTATTGTGGACTACTGTTAATCTAGACTCTCCATCCTGCAAAAGGCTCAGCGTGGCCAGGCTCCATATAGTTAATGGAGATCCAACAGTGAAGCAAGGCCTGTGGGTGCAGCTTGAGAGACACCTGGGGTCCCTAGGGATTGTATCTGTGTGTGACTGTCTACAATGGGCCCGAGTGTCTGCTTTGTACCTGCATATGCTTGGGGAAGAGGTACAGGAGCCCGGGGTTGGCCGGGCTGGCCTGCTGTCTTTATTCTGACCACCATCCTACGAGATGAGGAGGCCCAGAAATCTTTGGCCTTTCTGGGCCTGGATTGTTTGTGTGTTGGGTACCCTCCAGAGTAAATGCACGGATTCCTGCCAACACTGTGCAGAGTCAGAAAGTAACTTGGCTGGGGTGTCAGGGTTGGGTGTCCATCGTGTCTGGATACAGGTCACAAGGAACCAAGGCCAGTCCCTACATGTAGAGCACAGGGTCTAGATTTGCCTAGCCTGAGGATTTGTCAGCCACTGCCGAGTATATGAGCTGCTTGGTGTTCCTTACATGCCACAGCTAGTCAGCGAGGCTCAGCATAGCAGCCACCTGGGCTAAAGTAGCCCATTACTCCTAGTAACAGGCCCCAGGTCTGGAGAGAGTCCTGGCAAGAGTTTTGGGAGCCCTCTGAAAGGACAGGGCTCTATGTGTACCCACCCAAACATCGCAGAAATCCAGATGTTAAGGACGTTGGACATGTGAGGACCCTAGGAGGCAGCCTCTGTTCCTGATGTGAGACCCACCCAGTTCCATTCACCTATGGCACACATGGCCCTGGAGTTCCTCCTTCAGCCTCTACCTCCTTGGTCTTGGGTAAGACTAATAGTCATATGCTCCAGGGAAAAGTGGCCTGACCCTGCAGGCCTTGAATGGAGCAAGATCCAGCATGCATCCGTCTTCAGGTGTCCCAGTGTCTGAAGACTTGCTGCTATTCTTACTTCTGCATGGCCCTCTAGTGGCTGCATATGGCAGTGCAGCGTGACCCCTCAGATGCCTGCAGGGAAACTCAGGGTTCCGACCTCTGTTGGAGGACAGACAGGAACATAGAGCTTGTAGAGCTTCTTTGCCTGATAGTCATTGGGCTAGTGGTCCCTGTGGTTTTGCGGTCAAGGCTTCATCTGCTCTGGTGAGTCTGCAGTAACCAGGTAAGGATCAGGCCTTTGTGATGAGAGGTATCTTCCAGCTCCTCAGCTCCTCCACCTTGCCTTGGGAAGCTGCATGAAGGACATGCAGGAGAATGAATATCCGTAACTTGTCTGAACACCTGCAGGGACAACTATCCTCATGGCTTACCCCTACTCAATCCAGGACAGAGCCTTGAGGAGGTGGGAGTGGGCATATGTGGTGCTCACTTGGGGTCACGGGGAGGGGGGGTGTTTATCCCACAACCTCCAGCTCCTTGGAAAACACTAAGTGACAAGTGAGAAGACTCTTTGAGATGATTTGTTCCCAACAGAGGGAGACAGAAATGCTGCAGGTCCCCAATGCCCACTCTAGGCAAGCTGGTGACTGCCTGTAAACAGACATCTGGAATGTGTCCAGAGCAGGGCCACAGCAGTGTGCTGCATGGCCTCTGACTTCCTGAAGCAGGCAGAGTCCTTGTGGCTGACAGGCATCCAGGCCTCTCTGGGCAGAGAGCACCTCGCCTGCTCCCAGGGGACTTCCTGAGTCCAGTGACCTGCTGAGGGTACAGAGAACTGACAGGCATCGAGTGTAGGGCAGGGCCTTGAGGCACATGGGTGGTCAGTGGACATGGGAGAGACCTAAGAGAGGAAGGAGAGGATGGCGTCTGAAGAGAACGACAAGATTTCTACACCTCCCTTGAACACGTCTAAAGAGTCACAGACACAACAGGCAACTTGAGGCCCCTGGCAGCCGAGACTGCTCTGTGGTTCAGCAGGCACAGGTCAGCCTCCTGTTGTTTCTACAGAAAGCCTGCAGGAGGGCTTCCTATGAGGTCCTCACTGCCCGGGGGGTCCCTTCCAGGTCCTTTGCTGCTCTCAGAACACCACGTGTATGGGGAGGGGATATCTTTCCACCCTCAGAAGTGCCTTCTCGGTCTGTGTGGCATCTAGCTGACAAGGGTACTCCCTGGTGGCTTCTTCAGAAGCAACAGCTTCTGCCAATTCCAGGAACTGAGGAGCCCAGGCATCCCTGTCTTGTCCCGAGAGCCCCACGCTTTCACCCTGACAAGTTTCATTACTTATTACTCAAGCCTTGACAGGGACCCCTCCCAAAGGTGATGAATGGACTGGACTAGGGATTCTGTGGAAAGTTCAAAGCTGAGGTGGGGAGTGTTAGTGTTTGTGGTATTGGCCATAAAGGGGTAGACCTTCTTCACAGGGCTCTGTTGCCTGATGCTAGGTCCTGACCTGCCTAGCCAGGTCCCAGGGTTCCCAAGAGACTGAGAATGTGCCCTGCACATATGGGGACAGGCCTGGGAAGCAGACACCCACTTGTAGGCCAGCGTTGGACAGCTTGGAATCAAAGGCAGGGAAGGCCAAGCCCTAGGGAGAGCCCTCAGCCCTGGGAGCTCTAGATATAGTCTCACTGTGTAGGAGAGCCCTGCACTTTTCACATTTGTGAGAAAGAAATGGGCATTGTCTTCCCAGAGCTAGTTGGGGATTCTGCTTCAAGAAGTGCCTGGGTCTCCTGGGAAGTTCTCTGTGAACTGGGAACTAAGGCAGGGCCCCCTCTCCCCAGCAACACAGATTTATGGGGACACAGGCCAGAAAGGGATTCTTGGTACCAGTGGAACAAACACCCAGCCCTATCTGAATGTGACCTGTGATGGAAGAGTCCCTCCAGTTGCCCATCCCCCAGTGACTCATGCTGGTGGTGCCTGGTGCTGAGGCTGCTCAGAAAGGACTGTGTGCCCAGCAGTTGGTTGCCAGGCTGGTCGTTAGGCCTGGAATCCTCATGTCAGCCCAGGAAGGGTTGAGAGTGGGAGACAAGAGCGCCTTTGACTTCTCAGGACAAACAGAGCAGCCCTGAGGGGCCTTAGGGCAACCCGCCCCCCAAGGTCCTAGTAGAGAGGGAAAGGCTGTCAGCTCCAGGCACCACTGGACTGTGAGACCAAACTGCTCAACCTCCCTGGATCACCCAATACGTCAAAGGTAGCTGGTAAATACGGGGGCTGAGAGCACGGAAGGACTGGAACCCATCCTCTGCGACACAAGGCATCTACTGGGGCTCCATGGCCCGTACCACAGGCAGTTCTACAATGTTCTAGGATCCTGCAGTCCCACTGTGGGGCTCTAGCTCCTATGTGGTATCCTCTACCCAGGTGTAATGCCTCAGGGGCTTCCCCAGTCTCCTGAGAAGCAGGTGTCGCCTACAGCACGTGGTTCTGGGCATTTCTCAAAGGCTATTTGGCTCAGGTCTCCGGCTTGTTTGGTTAGAATGCCCCCTGTGTTGAGGACTATTGTGAAGGGTGAGGCTCTCCTAGGCACCAGTGAAAACTCAGGGCATGTGGGACTGGTAGCATTTTCACATCTGGTTCCTTGGCCCAGCCACTGTGGTTCACTTTGTGACTGTGCTGTCACTGTGTACGCCCATACTGCTGTCCACAGGGTGTTTTACTGGGTCACTGCTAAAGGACATCTGGGTGCTTTTCAAGTTTGAATGACTGAAGAAAATCTGTACAATATTAACAAGTGGGTTTAACATGAGCTTAAATCTATCTTCATTTCTCTTGAAACAGTCCCCCCCCCCCCCACCCCACCCCACCCCCGCCCCGAAAGACTGGCTCGTGGCCATTTCTCCTTAGCATGCAGCCCTCAGTTTCCCTCATTGCTTCTGCTATTCTCACGGTGACTTGCCATGTGTGCTGGCTTCCCATCAGAGGGTTTCTTTGGTGAGGTGTCTAGTTGAAATACTTGGCCCATTTGACATTTTCTCTTTTCCTTGTTTTTTTTTCTTTTTCTTTTTCTTTTTCTTTTCCAAGACAGGGTTTCCCTGTGCAGCTTTTGGAGCCTGTCCTGGAACTAGCATTTGTAGATCAGGCTGGTCTCAGACTCACAGAGATTCGCCTGCCTCTGCCTCCCAAGTGCTGGGATTAAAGGTGTGTACCACCCCCAGCCTGGCTGAAATTTTCTTTTCTTACTGTTAAGTTCTTTGCATATTTCAGATACAAGCTCCTTTTCAAGTTAGTGTGTTCCAAGTATTTTTTGCAGCTCTGTGGTATTTATCTTCAATGTTATTTGAAAAAACACAGCTTTTAATATTCTGAAGTCCAGTCTGCCTGTTTTCTATTATTTAACATGACGATTTGGGATCATTTCTAAGAAAACCTTGCCCATTGTAAGGTCATCCAGGTTATCTAGATATACTTGAGAAGGTTGGCTCTGGAGTCATGCTCTGAATAAACCCTGCTTGTGGTGCGAGCTGTGGATCCTAGTTGGTTTATCCCAGTAACTTCTTGAAATAGTCCTTTCTCCTTGAGCTTGTTCAAGCGAGGCACCTGTGTGGGCATTTCTGGATTCCAGACACACAGATCTGCACGCCTCTCTCATACTGTCTTCTTCATGAGGCTTTGTAAGGTGTCTTGGACTGGTGTAGTCTCAGGTCTCCAACTTCTTTATTTTCTTAAACTCATCCTGGCTGCTCTGGAACCTATGCTGATAGACAGTCATAAAAGCCCCACTGGGATTTTGTCAGCCAGCTGTTTTAAAGTCCTGAACTAGTAGCACTGCAGCTGAGGTCAGTGGCATGTCTGGCCCTAAGAGGTGGCTCAACTCAGGCCATTTGACAAAAATGCCCCAGCAACATGCAGGACTGACTTTCTGACTTGTGGCCTCATTCACATTATGTCAAAACATTGAAAACATCCCGAATTTGGATTAGTTGGAGGTGAATGCCAAGTTGAAAATGGTTTAAAGTAAAATTACTATAAATAACTTCATAAATTTTTAAAAATACTACCTGAACACCCTTTGGAGGGAGGATATTGAGAAATGATGAGTTATCTAGGATGCTCCGGGTGGCCAGGTGCACATGGAGAGTGAGCGCTCCAGCTTCAAGCCATCCTGCTGACCAGGCTGCTTGGTACTGCTCACTCTTAGGACCCTGATCAGGACAGGTGTTATAGCTTCTCCTAATCTTGCCTACTGTGATAACCACAGCCGTAGGTCCCTCCTGGGCCATTTCTGACCCGAGTTTAGGCCTAGGTTCCCTCCTGCTCCTTGGCTAGGGTGTCCCCAGAAGAGATAAGAGGATCTTCTCTCCTGGTTTTCCCTCTGCCCTCGCACCCAGGAGACAGCACACTGCCTCTTACAGACAGAAAAGTCCTGACACTCAGTAGTTCTTAAAGAATATGCATCCTTCATTCTTTCCAGTCTGTTGGCAGTGGCTGGTGACTTTTGATGGTGACCAGTGGGGATCACTGCAGAATGCTGGAAGGGACAGTATGCAGGCGGGATTGGTCCCAGAGGACCGCTACCTGAGGACTTAAAATGTCTGTCACCCACAGAGGGAAGTCTTGCAGGACCATCACTTTTGAGCAATTCCAGGAGGCGCTGGAGGAGCTGGCCAAGAAGCGGTTCAAGGATAAGAGCAGCGAGGAGGCTGTGCGTGAGGTGCACCGGCTCATTGAGGGGCGATCCCCAGTCATCTCTGGTGTCACGGTGAGGGCATGAGGCCTGGGTGGGCTTAGTACTCTTGCTTGCATCTGCCCTTGGGGAGACCATGGCCCAGCAGACTTGTTAGCCCCATTAAGTCTGGGGCTAACCTGGGAGACAGGAGAGGTAATCCCTTGTCACAGTCCTTGCTAGCTCCTCCCACTGAAATGCTGGAGCGGATGGCAACAATTCTTACCCAGCTCCCTCACTTGGCTTATGATAACACCCTCTTCTGTTCTCTTCCAGAAAGCTGTGTCCTCACCTACGGTGTCACGGCTCACAGACACAACCAAGTTCACAGGCTCCCACAAAGAGCGCTTTGACCAATCAGGAAAGGGCAAGGGCAAAGCTGGCCGTGTGGACCTGGTGGATGAGTCAGGCTACGTGCCGGGCTACAAGCACGCAGGCACCTATGACCAGAAGGTGCAGGGGGGCAAGTAGCCTTACAGGCCCAAGCTCTGGACACTGCGGGTGCCCGGCACAGGACTTACACCCATTGCACTTCATTACATTCCTATGTTCAGCTGGGCAGAACTCAGAACGCACCTCCACTAGGCAACGGTGGGGGCGATGCCCAGACCTCCTCCTGCTGGGTGCTTTGACACTTCTCTCTCAGACCCCAGGTTTGGGCCATGATTCATTGTCATTTCCTAACATACCTGCCCTGTCCACAGCTGGGAAATGGACTGCTATTTCCAAACTGTCTCCTAGGATCATACCACACTGGCCACTTGACCTGCAGGTAAAAAGGGTTATTTGAGCATTGGTAGGCGTAAGGATGAGCAGAGCAGACATCAGGACTCACACTGACCTTATCCAGGCTCTTCTCAGGGCAGTAGGAGCTAAGGAACTAACCAACTGCATAGAGTAATCCTGAACAGGCCCCTTCATCCTTCCTGACCACAGGACATGACCGAGGCTACCTGGTTGTTGTGCCGCAGTGTGTGTGGAACAGCTCACATCAGTACACATGGACACACAAGCACACACGCACGCACACCAACCAAGTCTGTGCTGAGTGGCCAAGAGACAACGGGAGCCCCCTGGGGGCCAGGGGAGTGACTTGCAGCATGAAGCTGGAAGTTTTGTCAGTGCTGTTCTAAGAAATGACAAGACTTTGTGCTTGGTCTCAAGAGTGGTCCAGGAAGACCTAGGAAGTTGCCTTGACTTTCGCCTTGCCCTGACCCATCACCAGATTGGGACATACATGATGCTGAGATATTTGGTCCAGACCAGACCTGGGCAGTTGTTCCACCGGTGTGAGATGGGAGCTTTTGCCAGGGCAAGTTATGCTGTGCTCTGCTCAAAAGTGTGTGTCTTCAGCTCTATGAAGCCACCTCTGGGTTCAGTTTCCCTAACTTTTCTCTCGAGGACAAGTACAGGGCACTGGATGCCACAACTAGCTCCCCCCTGCCAAACTCTTGCAGCATCTACTAGGGTTTCTTTTTCGGCCACAGGAGAACACATGACTCTCAATGTGTGAAGATGCCACTTAGGCAGGTCCAAAGGCATGTGCCACCATCATCACAGCCCCACAGCTAGGAGAACACATGACTCTCGATGTGTGAAGATGCCACTTAGGCAGGTCCAAAGGCATGTGCCACCATCATCACAGCCCCACAGCAACCACTCTTTTGCATTAACACAGTCCTACCCTTGCATGCAACTTGCTGGACTATGTGGTCATTCTCTAGAAAGAGCCCACAGTGGTCTCAGGACACGGCTCCCAGAACAGGTGGTTGTTGAAGGTGGGACATCCTACGTGACTTGGCAGAGCACAAGTAGACAGCAAAGCTGCTTTCCTCACTGCCATGGCACACGGTCACATTACCCCTGCCTCCGGGGCGCAGAGAGCATGCCTTCACTGCAGCTTGAGGGAAGACTGCCTACTAGCCTGAGAGGAAAAGCAGGGACCCCAATACCAGACCTCCCACAAGGCACTCTGAAGGTCCAAGGTTATGGGGTCCCTCAACACAGTCACAAATGGAGGCTGGAGATAGTCTAGCAGTCAGCTTCTTCCCAGGTTTCTGGGGGCCTGCAGTACCTGGCATTAAAAACCAAGCAGTGGAGCCTCGGTTCTAGATCTGACCTCGCTGGTCTGGGGAAACGAAAGGGCACTGGCACTTCCCACACCCTCCTTCAGCACCCCTAGCCCCCATGTGGCTGGCAGCCTCTGTCTGATGCTACTCTTTTCTACTGCTTATTAACAGCCCAGTTGCCACCATCACAGCTGAGTGAAATGGAACACACACAAATCCATCAGGTGGTGACTGCATATGGAGTAGGGCTGAGTGACAGGCTAGGGTGGTGTCTGAGGGTCTCCATGCCATGCAGTGGGGCAGAAGTTTCCCTGATTCCGTAGTAGTCTGAGGATCCTGGACACAGTCTCCCAATCAAACAGCCGAGATGCCAGACTGATGTCCAGATGAAGATGTAGGCCAAGTGCAGGATTGGCTGCCTAGCGCACCTAGGAAACAATGCAAGTGTCCACCATCACGGGGTCACCTAGCCTCATGGAGAAGCTTCATCATAAACTGGCTGCCTCGCCCACGCGCTGGGGATTGAACAGAACAGAGAGGCACGCACACACAGGTTCTGGGAAGTCGAGGACCAGATCTGCTGTCTCAGCCCCCACAGGGGAAATCCTCAGCAGAGCTTCAGAGAGCATCTGGTCCAGAGTCCTGGACAGTTGTTCTGCTAGTGTGAGATGGGAGCTTTTGCTCTAACACAACTTGGGCTCTGTAAATGAAAAGTCGGTCACTGCCTTGCTGGTCCTCACTCTCCTAGCACAGAACCTAAGCACCTTTGGGTTCCTGAGGGACAGTCCTAGGCCTTCCCATGTAGTCCTTTGGCAGCACCCAGAATTATGCCAGACAAGTGGTCTTCATTGAGTCCCTTCTCACTCCCAGTTTCCTCACACAACCTTTCTTAGTCAGTGTTAAGTTTAACTTTGAGAACACACCCTCCCTCTAGATGATATGCCATCTAGCAAGGAAAGGGTGGTAACACTTAGATCATGAAGACTTAGTGTCTCCATACTGTCAGTTTAAAGTGTCTATGGAATTCACTGTGGCATCTGTGTACCCTCTCAACATAGAAACTGACTGGACTCGGGCTCTGTTGCACAAAACATGTGCATTTCCCCCAGTTTCTGATGTGAACACAGAGGCAGTGTTTGTCTCTGTTGCATGTTTTATGCGATACCAATTAGCTTTTACTAACCATGGACAAATAGAATTCATTATCTGTGAATAAAAAACCTGCATAGCATGCAAACTGAGATCCAGGACCATGTGCAACTAGGTGACAGACACACAAGAGACGGGGACAGGTTCTCTCAGGGGATGACAACCAAGAGATGACACGTTTTTGTTTTTGTTTTTCTGGAGGGGACACCCAGGAGACAGATATACAGTTGACACCCAGAAGAGAAAAAAAAACACATTCTTATCAGAGGAAGACACTCAGGAGACAAAGACAGGCTCTTTTAAGGTGTGACAGCAAGACAATAAGGAGAGGTTCTGCCAGGGGCAACACTCAGGGACATGGGTTGGAGTGACAGAGACATTCTGCTGCAGGTGACACTCAGGGTATGTTCTGTCAGAGAGATGCTTGGACATGTTCTGTTGGGTGTGACACTCAGGAACATGCTCTGTGTGGGGTTTTATATACAGGGACAAATTCTGTTGGAGGTGAGATTCAGGAGAAAGGTACAGGTTGCAGGAAGAACAATGCAGATGGTATTTTAAGTGTCAGGGAAGGAAGGCAGGCAGGTAGGAAGAGTGTTTGAGAACACTGATTCTAGTAGAGTATTTATTTATTTCTATTTAATGCTGTAAGATAAGCAACTAGTTACCAAGATCAAATTACATGTTTAAATATTGTGGAGAGATCTATATTTATACTGGAGTATTTTTACACCTCTCAGTATCCTATCTTACACACGGGCATAGGGACACTATGACAGATGGAGATAGTTTTGAATGGGCTGCATGGCAGCTTCTGCCACTTTTCTGCAGTCTCTTCCAGGGAGATGACAGGTACCTGCCCTGAGCCAAGACTCAACCTTCCCACTCCCGGAGTCCCTGGGCTGCTTCAGTTCCTGTTTTAATGAACAGTTTTACGGACACACAGCTATACCCATGTGTTTACATACTGTGCTGCAGCTGCTTTGGCATTAGAACTGGCTGGGAGGATTGAGACAAACGCCATGGCACAGATACCTATGGTATCTGCCACCTGTCCCCTTTCAGGGAAAACTGCCTGTCTGCCTGGCTCTCTCTCTCTGCGGACTTGTATACTACCTGGCTACAGCACGGGCACATGGGAAAGCCCTGCCAACACCTTTTAAGCATGGTAAGGGTGACAATTTAGCTGTACTGTGAAGACATCAATAGACAGAATATCCTTCCAACACTGAGCCAAACTGCTCTTCTTCACCAACATACTACTGACCATTCTGAACTTTATGGTTCAGGGGTGTGGCCATCTTGGGACACTTAAATTATCTCTTCCTTTAGACCTCTTAAACTAAACCAAGCCAAACAACAAAGGAAGCCTGTACAACTTAAACTTGAAAGGAATAATATGCTACTACTACTAGTTTGTACTAAGTTTTTTTTCAAGAAAGGGAGTTAAGTTTATATATATATATGTGATATATATTTTTACACTATTTTATTAATGTTAGGGAATATGGAGAATATCACTTTATCAGTGTGATGGATAATGTTGATGTCATGGGTGTTCTGACTCGGAAAGGCACTTATGGGGACATCTAAACCACACTTGCTCAGAATGTCTGTCAGGTCAGGATGGCCCTCCTGTCCCTCCTGTAGAGTGCAAGGCATCTAGTCACCTGCTGGACATATCATGGCCTGGCTCATACTGCTTTAGTGAAACAGCTTGTGTCTATCAACATTTTGTTCATTGTGTTTGCTGTTATTAACATTGTGTGTCAAGTTGGTAAAGTGATGAATAAAGGTGTTAAAATGTGGATTTCTATTTTCCTGAAAGTCTATGCTGTCTATATTAGCTGTCATAAGGCCAGTAGGGCCTTGATACTTGGACAATAACATAGAGGTGCCTACAGTCTTTCCTGCATCAAAGCTCACCAGCAGAGAGCCTCACACTACTTTCACCCAAGGGCCAGGTCTGGCTTTGGTACAGTTCTTAGATGAAGTCCAGACTTAAGGTGCACTCCAAAGGCAGGCACATCATCAAGTTGATGAGTGAAATTCAGGTCAACCTCAAATATTAGTCCAAAGAGGTTGCTGTTCAAGAGGGGAAAAATTCTTTTTAGAAATGTAATAATTTGCTATCGGTAGACAACAACAACAACAAAAAATTCTAAATGCAGAAAGTGATCACAAGGAAATGTTTTTGACATAAATTAAAGCAAATAAGGAGGCAGGTAGCTTCAGATTAATAGTAATGGAAGTATTTTGTGAACCTAAAAATATTTCATGAAGAAATCACACACAAACCCAAAAGTAAATAGTGAGGCTAGTGTACACAGATTGTGTGCTTTGGAGGAATCCAGAATGCTGACCAGCTGCCTGATTAATAAGGGTAGAGATGCTGAAAAGATACAATCTAGAAGTGGCCAGGAGTGGTGGTGCACACCTTTAATCCCAGGGCTCAAAAGGTAGAGGCAAGAGGATCTTTGTGAGTTCAAGATCAGCCTGGTCTACGTGGTGAGCTCCATCACAGCCAAGGCTACATAATAAGGACCATGTACAGAACAGAACAGAACAAAACAAACAAACAAAACCCAGAAAAAACAGCTACCAACAAAACAAATATAAGTAACAATACTGGAGCCAGAAAAAAAATCACATGAGCAAATATATAAAACGAAATGGCAGCTAGAACCAAAGGAAAGAAATACAAAACAGAAAAACTGATGAAACAATAAACCCAAATAAATTTGTAATTTTGGAAAAATGTATAATGCCATGAGTGATATCAAGGTGAGGACGTACAGAAAGCTGGTTCAGTTGATACACAGCTGAAAATGTAAAGGACACCCAACAGAATGAATGTTCTAGAGTCCACCCATCAGTGACTCACTAAAGATGGGAACACAAGGCCTCCTTGTTCACTGGCTTGATGAGCAGGTCTGTAGTATGAAGCTGAGGTAGAGCCAATGGCCAGAGGCTATCTTCTTACCCTGATAGTGAAGTCTTCCTATTTAAAAACTCAAGTGTCACAACATGTCTAAACATTGGTAACCAAGGCAATACAAATTAATTCATAGACATACAGGACTTACAAAAACTCAAACAGAAATAGACAGCTGACTATGTAACTCCTGATTTGGGGGTTAGGAGATACAGAACATAGCAGAAAGCCCCCAAATCTCAAAGTCGAGGCTCCACTTGGGCCAATGCAGAACTTGGGCGGGGGAGTCTTTCTGACCTTGTGAGGCAGAGAACAAGGGCCATCAGGGCAACTACTGAGGTGGCTCAGCAGCTGGCTCTTCCTGTCTGGTCCTGCTAGGACACACCTCAGTTCTTCACACACCGTTGCCTCTAACTATTAGTAACATGGCCCAAAAGCAACTCAGGAGAGGCTGGGCTGTTGGTGAGAATGGGCTAGGCTACATGTTAAAACAATCATACTGAATTGGTATAAAAACTCTACCCACAAAGCAAGGTCCAGGCATAAGTGACTTCGCCAGCAAGTTCTACCAAATGTCAGGGATGAAAACTTGTAACTGTATTCTCTTTAAAGAAAAATGGGTAACAGCACAGTGCTGCAGATCCAGAGGAAGCAAGGACAAAGGGACTGTAAGCCACTGTCACCTGTCACTGGATAGCAGCAAAGAATGGTACACTGATGACTAAGTGTCAGATACTGCTATGGACTTCTATTTGTATTCACTCATTCAGGAAGTTAGTACTCAGCATATTGTGAAATGCAAAGGATCAAAACCAGGCAGACATCTTGAACATAAGGTGGAAGGATGTGTCCTAAAGATGGTACCAGTCTAGGAAAGTGATGGAGAGCGGAAATGCAGGTGTTTTCAGGGAATCCTGGGGCTGGGACAGCTGTGTGTATCCCTGGATAACAATGGCATTAGACTCTTAACCTTCCTAACAGGCACAAAAGCTCCAAATAGATAAAACTACCAAATATGCTGGAAGACAGACTCAAAAAACAAAACTTATTACTCAACATACCCTCACTGCAGTCAACACAGACTTTTGTCGTCTTAAAACATATAGGATTTCTGCCTTCTAGCAAGCAAACAACTCTGAAGCAGACACTAGCTGGCCATCCTCTAATTCAAATCCATTCTGACACCATCCACCTGGAAGAAGAATCACATCTCACAGGTTGAGGGCCACGGCTGCCTCAGAACTTCAGAACATAACAGAACAAGTCCACATTTTTTTCCTGTTTTTGACTGGCAAAACCTATGGTCCCTCTAACCCCCTTTTCAGAGTCAATTAGTTTGCTTAAGCAGCTTTCAGAACTTAGGAAGCACATTAATGATTTATTGTAAGTCCCTACAATGGACATAGGTGGAAGAGCTGTGGGCTGAGGTGTGGCAATGTGGAGAACTGAGTGCTACCCTCCAGGAACCTCCAGCTGTTCAGCTCCTCGGATGGTCGCTGAGCCCAGTCCTCTTGTCTTTTCGAGGAGACTGTATTGTGTGGTCATTGGTAATCAATTTAACCATCATCCCCTTCACTTTGTGGAGAGTGGGGTTGGGGTCACACTGCCTGTATCTTTCCAGAGGCCAGCTACATCCTGAAACTACTTGGAGTTGGCCAGAAGACAACTCATTAGCACACAATGATACCATCCTTCAGAGAACCTAAAGGTTTTAGGTGCTGTGTGACCACAAAGGAAAAATTAAAAAAAAAAAAGTATCCAAAATGAGTTAATAGAAGATTGATACACAGAACCAGAATAAAGTTTAAAGGTTCTCTCAGAAGCACTACTAAAAAATAAAAAGGAGGGGGTAGTTGAAATGTAAAATGAAAAATTTGAATAAATAAATAAATAAATAAATGGAAAGTATCTATTTTTAGATGTAATTCCCAAATCACAGAATCATGGGCTATTTCCCTTATCCATGCGTGGGACAAGTGTTCTAGGTTTCAGATTTTTTTCGAATTTACAGATATCCAGGTGAGCATTCCCAGTGAGAAAAATGTAGATCTTTCTGTGTATCATCTTGCCTTGGTGCTAGAGATAAGACCCAGAGCCTCTGGTATGTCCAGCAGGTGGTCACATGGAGATGCACCTCTAGTCCAAGTGTTACTGTTTGGATACCAACACAAGGCTCAGAAAGCTTCAGATATTCAATCCTTTCTTAATAAGGTTATGTTCATGCTTCCCTCAACTCCTTCAGCATATTCAGGGTACCTTTTCTAGACAATCCCAAGCAATCTCCAGAGTGACCGTGTTCAGCAGCAGCAACACGAGTGCGTGAGAGCATGTCTGCATGCGCCTCACTCTAGGACTATCTTCTGGTGGATGGAATTTGCCTCTTCTATTAAGCACTTTGCACATATTCCGTCATCTGGTTTTCATTTTGCACAGTGAGTATTTAAGTTTGGTCTTATTTTCAGGAGTCACTGCAAGCAAGGGCGAGGCAGCGAGTGGGAGATTTTTTAAACTATGACATGTTAACATAACGCAAATTCTTAAGATAGTTTTCACATTTATAAATGTTACTTTTTTATTAAACTTGGAACTATTTCTTCCTGCTTACTTAATGTAACTTATTTTATAGAAGAATTCAATGAGGAAGTCAGTTATAATTTATGAAGAGCCATGTAAAAGGTTTACTTTTTAAACAACAATATACTAGTTCTTTAAATAAGGACTGCTTATCACATGAAAACGTATTTTAATTATATAAAACTTTCATGAATTGGGAAGACAAAACACTTCAGGTACTTTACAACAGGACGTGTAATGGCAAAGTAAGTGTTCCAAAACGGCAAAGACCCGGGGTCGACTTGTCAACTTAGGACACAAAAGCAAGCTGAACATCAGACCATCAACACATTTGGAGGATCCTAAGGTAATTAATCTCACCAGGACATTCAGGCGCAACTCTGGAGCTATGACTGATGGAGGAGCTAGCAGGACTGGCGGCCACCGAGCCGGGAGCTGTGGCATGGGAACAGGGCAGCAGTCTTCTTAAACTCCTGGAAGCTCCAGTGCATCTGCTCTACCTCAGCTCTATGCTGTGCCCGTGTGCGGCTCAACTCCTGCAGGAGATGCTCATTGGTGCTGACCAGGGAACTGTAAGATACAAGGAGAATAACTGCTGAGTTCCTCCCAGTACCCAGTCTGCTGTTGTGTCCCAACTGCCACAGCCTAGCTCAAAATCCACAGCATGGAGGCATCCCTGACCCCTGTTCTGCAGCAGTGCCAAGGCCACCACGTGTTCATGGCTCCATTATCTTCCACTTCTCACTGGCTTCTGTCCCTGTATATGACTTTTCCACACCACACATGGGGTGCAACCCAACCCCTTGGCTTCAGCAAGTCTCCTAAAGGCACTGCCGGTCACTGCGAGCTGAGCTTGGGAATAAACCGAAGGAATGAATGGTGAGGTCTTCCTGACACCCCACAGTTCTACGACAAGACAATGAGAACCTTTATGGCTAATAAAACCATATTCTGACTTTAGAAAGACCCAATATTAGTGTTTCTAACCCTAATTACCCATGGCTAATTGCGATGCGACTACAGTACAGTCAGTACAGTGCAGAGCGGGTTCAGACGTGCTGGAGCGTTTTTCACAATGTCTCCCTACTGTTCAGTTCCCCGAGGTGGCCACAGTGAACAGCACCACAAGTTTAGATACAGCCAGGCAATGCTAACCTCTGCCACTTCTCAAGACAGTCACCCCATTAAATAATCTACTAAGCAGATAAGCAGGTGCTGGCCCTGTTTGTTTAAATCACAGAAACGGCTGCTGAATAACACCAGCATGCACACGAGTGGACAAAACCTGCCCCCACTGTC